GGCACTTGTTACTAGAAGCGATGCACTTGTTCCTAGTAGCTTATTGTATACTCCTTCCATGAAAAGAAACTGCCCTTTGTTGCCTTTGTGCTATCGTTCCCTTACTCTCTCTCTCTCTCTGTGTCTTTCTTTAGTTTCTTTGTTAGATCTTACTTTTGGCCTCTGGTTCGTTCTTCCGTCATGTACAATCTGGCCTTTAAACAACAGTACTACCAGTAGGCCCGGCCACTAAGCCCTTACTAGGTTTGCTTTTGGATACGGACCGATCTTACAAGTTGCAACAAGAAAAATACTTTATGGAAACAAGAAAAGAAGTTCTTTCTTTCTTCCTTGTTTGTCTTTCCTTCAGACCTGTAGCCCCTTCTTCATGTTCTTTGTTTATTTCTTTTCAAGGGCCCTTACGACCCAAGGGCCTTGGGTCTTGTGTCTTACACATCCCTCACCAGCTTGTTACGATACATTGGAGTTATTGGATCTGCTTCCTCTCGAATCTTCCTGTAAGAAGCAGCTATACAAGCTAGAGGAAGGCCGGAAGGCCCGTGTGGCTAACTCATAAAGCAAAAAAATCCAAAAGAATCCTCTCCAGCTCTGGTGAACGATCGTCCCCAGATGATATCGACAGCTCTTGGAGATGGACAGTCTCGCCAATTTTGTAGTAGTTGTGGATGGAATCCACAGCCTTGATTCTCCTGAACACGACACTCAACTTTACATTGCACTCCTCTTGGGACTCTGCTGATTCAATTTGGATTTTCGTGCCCCCACCCCTTGCACGCGCCTCTTCTCCCTCTTCTTGGGTTGCTCTTTCTTCGTGCTGATCGAGAGAGGTGCGGAATCCTACACAGGCAGCAAGCACTTGTGGTTCGTTGCTTCAGGATGTTTCAGAATCATTTGGTCTGTCCACTACAATTTAACACCTTCAGAATTTGTCCACAGCTCAGAAACGATTCTAGGCTCAATCGCGCCTTCCCTCCAACTGCCAAAGTTGGCTGGAAACCACGACGGGCAGCAATCCTTGGCTCGGTTGAGAGCCAGGGCTGGAGCTCTGGAACACTAGCGATGGCATCCAACCTACTGGCGATTGCCTCCAACCAAGACCGAAGTTTCTGCCACCCTGACCGCTCCACTCTGATCTGCACCATCTGGGGGTGGCACGAGCTTTGCCCAACAGGCTTTCCTGATTTCGTGGACTCCACTGCCCCAGCCAAGCCCTCAGAGCAAATCAATCACCCTCTGGCTGCTTCCTCTCAGAAAAGCGATGAACCAAAGCATCAACTCATGTGCTGCGAAGTCGCACATGTTCAATCGAACATACAAAATGCAACTGTGACTTAATAGGACCAAAGCAAAAGTAGGTGAATACCGCTGCCTCTCAGAGCTGCAAGACTCAAATCTCACATCTCGCCGCTGAGTGCCTGGCCTGTGAATCCCCGCCAGACCTAACACATTCATCACTTGGGTCAGTCTAACCAAGGTCACCAACACACGCTGTGAGCTCCAGGCTTTGGAGAAGCACTGCCCTTCAAGGAGGAACTTCCTGCTGGGCTTCGAGTTGGGTGCTTCTTGTGACTGAGTTGGATGCGGTGACGTTGGATTTTGGCAAGGATGATCCAACAAACCGTGCAATGGATTTGCCAAAACTCATTGGACCGTTCAGCTCTTAGAGTATCTGATAAAGAGATATGAAGAGTCTTCACACAACCACATGTCTGCTGTTGCGAATCTCACAAGTTGATGGATACACAATACAAATGACAAAGCGGCAAAACAAGCCGAAAAATTCCACAACTGTTCGGACAAATCGCAGCGGCCTTTCACGGACAAGTCAGGTGATCCCTGCAATCGAGAGCATTGAGCATCCAAGAGTCCCTTGATCACGCATTCTTAAAGTCTTAGTATCAAGAAGAAAGGAAGGATGAAGGACAAAAAGAAAGGAGTGAAGAAAAGATCTAGTCTGCTCGGTAGCAAGAGGGAACGCGTCGCTGAACTTATAGTATTTCCCGGTTGGGGTTGTATGCTGTTCTCTTTCATTGTTCTGCTTTTTAGACTTTTGGACCTTTCCTGTTCCTCCTTTCTGCCGTGTTTTCATCTGCAAATTAGGAAATGTCATGGCTATCTAATCGGTGTAAAGACAGTCACACCACCTGTAGCAATCCATTCACTCAGTGAGGTTGGGCTGTGACTCAGGCACGGACTGGTGGCTGTGTATTGAGGCCTGCATCAAAGAGTGAGAGGCACCAGCATTTCCCAAAGGTTGCAACAAAAATGCCTTGGTAATGCTCCTTACTAAGCTCATATTCAGGAATGGAATGGACCTTTAAGAACTACGTAACAACCTCTATGCTTGCTCTTCGCTTCGTCCCGGTCCCATGGCACGTCCATCGCACGGAGAGGCCTGCAGACTCTTCCGGGCTCGATGAGACACCTGGCGAGAGGATCAAAGGCTCGGTCCATGGGATCTTTTTTCATGGGCGTTCCTCCCAATAGCATCCTTGCTCCTAGTAGTATGGCTAGGAGCCCCTAGTAGCGTCCTTGCTCCTAGTAGCGATGCCCTTTGCTCCTAGCAGCTTCTTGCTCCTACTCAATATTTGAGGATTTGAGGAATCCTCTTGTTTAAGGCCGCCCTTGCTTGAGGGAGTAAGCTTCTAGCTACCTATTCTACTCCCGACAGGATGCAGGATAGCTCACGCTATTGATTTGGTTCCTAGATCTTTAGGAATCCCCTAGTGGACGAAGACGCCAATCTCCTGAATTCATTGTACTGCCTGACATTGATCAAAGGAGACGGTGATCTCCAAGGAGTCTTGACCATTCATGGCAGTGGAGCAAAATATATGTGAAGAAGTACGGAAAGAACCCTCTTGTCTCATGTCTCTTCAAACCCACAGAGAGCAAAGTAGCTGGTCAAGCTTTGCAGAGATCCCCATCAATCACGATAGCTGCCATGGCTCAATCCAAATGCAGTTGAGCTAGCAGCTCTAGCAACGGCCCAATCTTGTCTGTGAAGCGAAGTAACCAAACCCATTTGACAAGCAAGACTGAAACACCTTCACGATAGCTGCCATGGCTGTTGTGCTTCAACTCCTCTGTAGAGACATTGCAGCACGGAGCGCTCCTGACACACTCGGCACTCTCATAGAGTCAGCCCCAAATGAAATGCTTATATTGCCAATGGCCTTCAACATAGTAGCGTCCTTTGCTCCTAGTAGTAAGGCCAGGAGCCCCTAGTAGCGTCTTTGCTCCTACTAGTAGTAGCGATGCCAGGAGCGCCCAGTAGCTTATATATATATATACACATACATGATTGCAATTTTGATCACCTCCTTGTCGTTTGCAACTAATTAGGTGGGATGATGGATTTAGATGGCTTGGCTCTAGAGCACTTACATGTTGTTAACTCGAAACAACTGGTTACGTTTGCTTTACAAGCAGGTTTCTTGGACTCAACCAACCCTCACCACTAGGCTCACCCTATCTTGATAACAAGACGTCGTGTCAAACAAGAAAACAATTGAGATCGATTTAGGTTCATTTGTGCTATTGAGCTATTGCTATCAGGTTGGAGGCCATCACTATTAGGTAGATTGGTAGATTGTTGAAAAAAGAGAAGAAAAAACAAGTTCATCCCTAATTCCGGTGGATTCCGCCAAACTCGTGCTGGAAGGCCTTCCAGAGCCCATGGAGCCGCTGCCGGCGAGAGCCTGCAGCCTGGCGAAAAAGGGTCGACTGCAGCGGATTCTGTTTCTGAATGTCAATGAGACTGCAAACAAACTACTGCAAAATGGCAGCAAGATGCAGCAAGTATTAAAAAAAGTGCTCTTTCGCCCCCTACTTTTGAAAAACCTAAACCTTACTACCGAGATCAAAACCTACCAACAAGACTGCTCTTCAGAATCAGCCACCTACCTCAAACGGCCCTTGTCACTGAGGGAAGCGTTGCTGGAACGGTGAGCCTTTGCCGCAAACCAAGCACACGTCATGTTTGTTTCGTGTCCGTTGGGTGTTGCAACAGGGTCTACTTCAGTATCTGTACAAGATTTTTCAGTCAACAAAGCATCTCCCACTTTGTTGGGATCAACAAAAAGAGCCAAAAAGTAAAAAAGGAAAAGTGATCTCCGTTGATCCTGTTTGGGATGAGTCGGATGAGTGATGAGTCAGGAAGTCCACGGCCCCAGTACTGAGCTGGACACAGCGTGAGCTGGACTTGCAGATCCCGACGCACTTGGAGACGAAGCCTCACGCTCACACAGGAGGGGGAAATGATGGACATTGGTAGACGGTGGACCTACAAACAAACAACTGCCAAACAAACATACAACAATGAGGACTTCATCGAGGACTACTTTGACCTCAACAAGCATCAATAGGGTAGAGTTTACCGGGTAGAGTCCTCAAAGGATATGCATGGATAGGAGAAAAAATAACATGCTTCAAGGTCAATGCAGCACCAGCAACAGCCAAGACAACGGAACCACCACTGGCCATTGCTGACCAAGGAACCGGTCGGCACGGTAAGACAACTATCAGCCCCACTCTAGGCACAGACCCAGAGCCAAGCAAAAAAGTCAACTCGGACCGAGTCCTATCTTTCTTCTTTTCTACTCTTCGAAGGAATACAAGAGACAAAAGGCCTTATTTTGTCAGAACGAATCAGACGCATCTTGGAATAGTTCGAGACACTCAATTGTCACGGGCAGCTTGCCCCTGTGCCACCGCGCTGTGTGTGTCGAGTTCTTTGGTCCGGCCTCAGGTGTTGGAACTCGGCCCATGATGGTTCTGCGGCTTCACTCTGCTCATGGGCGGATTTTCACTAAGGCCAGGAGCTAGTAGCGATGCTCTTTGCTCCTAGTAGCTTCTTGCTCCTAGTAGTAAGGCCAGGAGCCCTTAGTAGCGTCCTTGCTCCTAGTAGCGATGCCCTTTGCTACTAGTAGTAATTAAGCACGTGGTGTTTCACCCAGTATAGTCAGTGGTGAAACGATCATCGGCAGTTGATAAGTCATCTCAAGCAACTTTGAAGCATCCAGGTGAGGGAGTTGAAGTTGGAGGTGAAATCCTTCTTTTAGGCCGCCCTTACTTCATCTTTTTAGGCCAGCGCCTACTTAATTTAAGTACAGGAGTAAACACGCTACTAGCAATAGGACGCTACTAGTAACTGGACGCAGGATAGCTCATGCTAATGCTTTGATTCCTAGATTTTTTTGGATACGATGAGGTAAAACTTCACCGGCTGTTCTGCCCTGAATTAAAATCCAAAGAAATTGTGCCTCTGGCCGTTACATGAAGTCAACCAAATAGACTCCCTTAACAAGCTCTCTGAAGTCGCTTAAAAAGGCAAAATTGCGAGGCCACGAATGCCTTTTCAAGGTGTGCCGGTTTGAAGTTCACTATCCTTTGCTACAAATGAAGAATACTTTCTTTGTCAAGAACTCAGTTACTTAGCGGCAGGAAAACCTTGGTTCCTCAAATGGCGCTCAGGGTTCTACCGCACACCTCACCCTGCATCCAAAAGACAGCAGACATTGAGACAATCTCTGGCTCCGCTGGATTTGAGCCAAACAAAGGGCAAAGTTCCACTAATTCACGGAACAAGACAAATATTGATCTGCCACGATAGGTCAAAGACTGCGCCATCGTTGGAAACACCGTTCATGCGGGGAGAACTCTGGCAAAATCCCGCAAATTCTACTTGGACACAAGCTCAGACTGTCAAACATTGCTTGAAACATCTCAGGAAATCTTGAGCATATAGCCACCGCAGTTGCGCACCGCGTTGAGCGATGGATCTTCACTCGGCCGTCATAGCCCAGCATCCAGCTGTGAGGCATAGACTCCCACGCGAGGCCCTGACATACTTCGGGCTTAAGTTGTAAAGGTCGCAACAAGAAAACCTGAGAATCGGCCTTCCAAAACATGGGGGGTGGCTAGGCTAGTTGTTTATCGTATCAAGTCCTGGAACACAGGCGGCTAATTAGGCATAATTGGATTCCTGTCACTTGGAGACGGGGCAAGGGAGCTGTGTCAAGCTAGCGAATAAAGCTGATTGGCGTCATTAGATCCCGCTTCTTCCATTTCGTCCCTTCTCTACCCTACCAGCCTCATAGAAACCTCCGATGTCTGCTTCCAATGTAGAGCTCAAAGATGGGTGCACCCCAATGCCTGACAGAAGACATGATCACGTGGTCGATGTGGACACAGCAGGTGGGCTTTGGCAAAAAGGTCTGCACCTATGCCGAAGCCATCTGACCACTTTGTATCCACTTGCTCGATGCAAACCTGTCGCACCAGAAGGAGCTACCGCGCGAAAAGTTTGCAAAGTTCTTCCTTTTCTGTCTGCTTCTTTGTTTCTTTACACTTTGGACCCTTGGACCTCTCTTTGTTGGATCCTTTTCTGTCTTTCCTTCTTCAGCTTCGAAAACTGAAGTATTCTCCCTCCACAAAAGAAACAAAGACTTCACAGACTCAGTGCTCGTTGCCTCAAAGAAACGGCCATAGACCGTCTTCCTGCAACCACAGCAGCTCCAACATTGCAAATTAGCGTCCTTTGTTCCTAGTAGCGTCCTTGCTACTAGTAGCGATGCCCTTTGTTCCTAGTAGCTTCTGTTTTTTCACGGTGTCTTTTTCTTTAGACCTTTTCAAGGACCTTTTCTTTCCGCATCTTTTTATGGGACCCTCTGCTAGCCTTACTAGCCGTACTATCCCTTGCTGCTTGAAAGGCATGTTGGCTCCACATCTTGTGTGCGTTTCTTTCACCATCCGGTGCAGCCCTTGCAGCTTTTCGTCCAACGACTCTGTCGGGATATGGACGCTTCAATCCTGAGATGCTGCGCCGAGGTCAGGAAGCCTCAGAGGCTTGGCGTATCACGGGAAACTCATGCGAGAAACTCATTCTGTACACGTCACGCACGGGAGAAATGGACAAATATGCAGAAGAAGGAGGAAACACACATAATCTAGAGGTTTCTCCAACAGGAAAAAGTGCGTGAGTCGGAAGTGAACTCAGGTGGCAAAATGTGGGGCAGAGAACCTTGCAAAAAAAAGAAACTTCCTCAGTGCCTAGCATCACCTGCGGTAACGAGATTCCAACAAGCCGGAAACCACTCTGTGAGGTTCGAGCACCAGTCATACCACGATCAAATGATAAAGTGCATTCAAAGCAAACTCCGGAAGGGACAAGACCTCTCAGTGTTCCCTGCGAAGGATGCCTAAAACTGTGTTTGGAGTGGAGTCCACAATGCAGCTCCTGCCAGTTGAATTGCGTGCTGTTTGATCCCTCAAGACGTGTAGAGCCACCAGTCCCAAGAGCAACTCCCAAATGGCCTTGGGTCTTCGGGTCCCTACCTCTTCTTAGAAACGTGATGATCTCTTCCTTCTTTTCTTTGGACCTTAGACCTGTGTATTTCTAGCTCTTTATGTCTTCCTTCATCCAAACAAGAACGCTTTCTAAACATCCTCCCGACGAGCCCCTACTTCTTTGAGGACTTCACTACCCCGAGCTTCCGCGAAGGAAACATCGGACACGATGGGCCCCGGACCGCCATATCTGCTGTTTCTCCAGGAGGCTCTTCGGCGGTCCGGCGAGAGCGCCACGGACCGGGCCTCCCGTCGCTCTCGTCATTCTCGGTGTGATGTCAAATGGTCAATGGCACAACGGTCAATGCCTTCGGCGAACATTCCAATCACCAATGGACTATCTATGCTCACTTGTCATGTTGGCATGAAGCTCCTACCGAGCCAGATCCAGCTGATTTCTTGGTACCAAAGTATGAGCGACAAACAACTGCACAGAAGAATCAGTGGTGCGAGGAACTCAAAGCTG